GCAGTGTAAGACTAGAGGGAAGGACAAGCTAGTCATCATCACCCACCGCTAACTCTTGGGCTACTCTTTTACCAACGAATAGTGGGATTGACCATCACATTAAAATGCCCCCACGGCTGAAAGGGCGAGCATGTTTGGTGTGACGGGGATGCGAACCCGCGACCCTCAGATTTATATATATGAGTCCGTGTGTGTGTCTGTGTGTGTGTGTATGTGTGAGTTTGCCAGAAAAGAAAACACGTTATCATTAGTCAGAAAAATTTATTTTCACACAAATTAGATATACATAATATCGAAAACTCATATCAAATCCTATGAATGTGACATTTGTTCTTGTTTCTTCGCAATTATGTCTGGAATATGGGGTTCCTTTTTGCTGAGAGCGATGCGCATGTCGTGCTGAGCATCGAGTCGATTTCGAAACTTGCTTTTCACATAAAGAAGAGTCGAAAACCCTACTTCGCAAAGATATGTTGTTGCGAAGGGAACAAGTACAGTAAGTGCTTTCTTGGAAATGTTTGGGAATCTTGTTACTTGTGATGCCCAAAAATTTTCCAAAGTCTTCGCTTCGAACTCCATTTTTGCAGCATGATCATTTTGCATGTCAATTATTCCCTTCTTGAAATGATCTTCGTCAGGCATATCGCTTAACTGAAACAGAAACGGGTTCCTTGTCCAGCGGTCGCTCGCTTCCAAATTTCCTGCAGAGAAATACCCATCAAAGGCATATAATAGCTGTTCAAGGTGAATGCGTATTGTTGTGGCAACTTCTGGAAGTAGTGACTCGTGTTCTTCAACAACTTCTTCCAGCGATGGAAACCTAGCCAAATTTCCCTTCTCATTATTTCTCAAACACAAAGGAATTTTAGCTTTGAAGGAAGCCAATTTTACACGTGCAATAACCACGTTTTTATTACTTCCTTGGAGGGAAATACTTAGTTCATTTAAGTGAGTAAATATGTCGGTCAAGTATACTAGCATATGCACAAGCTCTGGGGAATCAAGTGAAGAAAAGAGATCCAACTTTTGATCCTTTAAAAAATGTCTTGATCTCCTCACGAAGCTGAAATATATACTGCAAGACACGTCCACGGGATAGCCATCTCACCTCCGTGTGAACCGTGTGTTCAGAATCCATGTTTTCACAAACAAAACATCCTCTAATTACGTGAACAATTTTCACACATGTTGACAAAACGTCTTGCAGACTTTTTGGTAAAGTCATCTCTGCTAATGCATACCGATGAAGCAGGCAGTGTGTGACACGGACCTCAGGAATTTCCCGTTTCATGAGAGCTGCAAATCCAGACCGATTTCCCAGCATAGCAGGAGCGCCATCTGTACATATAGAACCAACTATGTTCATATCCAATCCATGTTTTAAGAAAAATTTTCTTATATGAGGTCGAACACGTTCTGGCCTTTTGTGGTGGTCTTTAGTGGTTCACAAAATAGAATGTGTTCTAATACTTCTTCATTCTTGACATAACGAACAAGAGCAATCAGTTGGCTACAATGGGAAACATCTGTAGATTCATCCAATTGCAATGATATTGTTACGTCTCCGTTTGTTAATTGATTTTCCGTAATTTCGTTCCGACGAAACTTAAGCGACACAAGTTCTTTCTTAATAAAAACTGGTTTATTCTTTCCGAATATAACTTTACTGATACACTCAACTTCAACAATCGCGCTAAACAGACGCTATAACAACGAACGTGCTCAATAATACTTCTGACTGCAGATCAATTACTCACTGTCTACACACACACATTCCCGCGTCACGTTGTCCCCCTCTTATATATACCAGCCTACCCCAATCTAGTAAATACTAGAGCATTCCTGAAAAAACAAGATATTTCTAGAAACTAGAGGGCGCCACACCAGTCACGTGACCTCGATGACGCAACAATATTTTTACAGGAGTCGC